GATTACTTGGTGTCTGTTAAAACTTTGTTGCATTCCTTGATGCATTTTTTTACTATAACTTCTCACTGTTCGGTCAGCGTGACTGGAAATCTTTGCACGGATGAAATTTCTCTGAAGCCAGCTTTTACATCAATTCAAGAGCTGACAGAAGTTTCATAATTGAACTCGTGAGGAATTCTCCATGGAATGAATGCAGAGATGAGGTTGGAATCTACATTCAGCCTTCAGATGGTCAACAGGCCCTTTACAGCCAGCTATTCACGTGGTACTAAACCGCCATAGAGTTGCACTGGCACAAGACAAACAAAGGAAATTACCCTTTAAAATTATGTATGCCTTTGATTTGTCTTGTCCCAGTGCGACTTTTGTTCTCCAGAATGGCGGTTTTGTACCACTATACGTGGCTAGCTGGAGAGGCCCTATTCACCAAGGTGACCACCGTTTTGTTGGGCGTGGGCTGGGAGGGATGGTAAGCTAAGCTTGATTTTAGATCAATGTGCTTTGAAATCCCGTCAAACATTTCTTTGAATAAGTCCACACCAAGACTCTCAAGTTTATTTTAAGACAATCACGTTATACTCTGAGAATTTGAAGTAAATTGCAGGGTCAATGACTACGGTCCAATTCGCCCAGGGTCCTCAGGCTTTTTCCAACTATCAGCGACTATCAGGTAGCAAGAGCTAATCTCGGCGGGCCAGTCAATTTACGAGTAGGGAATATTGGATTTTTGTTATTTTATGTCCATGCTCGTCCATATATAATATATTGCGGAAAGATTCTGCAAAGGGGAAAAAGGATTTATACTGTACAGCGGCAGGTAAAAAGGAGCTGGTATCAGTTTTTAGTAAAATCCAACTAGTGGCATGGTCTATTATCAATGCTGCGCGCTGATTGGTTGCAGCGCCGTAGCTAGTATGAGGCCAACCGAGGCACTCGCCTCGGTAAAATTTTGACGAATTTCGCCGATCATTTTTATTTTACATAAGCGATCATCGGATATTTTTAACGCATCATGATATTACAAAGAATTCAGCAATTCAGTCAATATACTATGAAAAAATTACCATATCATCGATCTCAAGGGGCTACGTACGTTAACTCAAATTTTTTTTGAACAAATACTGATCAAAACCATTGGCGAGGTTAACGGTCACCCAGATTATGTAGCTTGTTTCTGATTATTGCTTTTTAAATTCCACTTAAATTAACTCGAAAAAAAGTTACCGAAAGGCCCAGAAAACGCTGCAAATCGCATTTCCGAGAGACTAAAGTTCAAAATTTCTCGGGGGGGGGGGGCATGCCCCCGAACCCCCCTAGCAACTCCCGCTTGCCTCGGTTGGCCGTTTGGTCTGGCTACGGCACTGGGTTGAGCTACTACTAGGCTATATGTTATAGCCCACTAGTAGCGAAAAGCGCGGGCTTTTTGGCGGCAAAAAAGGATTAAAGTCTAGCTTTAACTAGCTAGAAGTTTTTCATTCTCGATATTTTTGACCGACTAGTTGGATTTTACTAAAACAATTATTCCTCTCGCCCGAATGGGCTCTAAGTCAATAGCCCATTCGGCCCTCGCTTCGGCCTCGTGGACTGTTGACTCAGAGCCCATTCGGGCTCGAGAAATAATTGTTAAATACTCTCGTTAACGAGGATTTTACCTTAGCGATGATCTGGTCTATACCAATGAACGAATTTACTTCTTTGAAAATACTACATGTATAGCACACTTTGAATTCCTTTTTGACTGAAGGCCATGAGCATTGTTGTCATTGTTATGTCCCAAAATAACTAGATAAAAGATAAATTTATCAGCAATGCAAATGGTCCTCGGAGGGGGTATTTTAACTGATGACATGTGTAATTTTGAGAAAGTAGCCTTAAATGATCAGGTAGAAAAGCGGGGGCGATTAAAAGGATCTCAGTGAGGCGGTTGCATTTGCTTCTATAACAATAAGTATTGACACTTGGCTTTTTATGGCTAACAGTTAATTCATCTTTCCGTTAACATCTAGAGAAAAATTGGTTTTAAAACATCAGAAAATTAAGTTAACAACGCTCTGGAGGCCTCTAAAGACCTTACTGGAATGGAATAAAAGTTTCAAATAGGGTTTATAGGTCACAAGTTGGACCACATGCACAAAATCATAACAAGTGATCTCGACACCCTCTAAAAAATGTGGTTAAAACGTTTTGCGGTTAACTTTTCTACGACTAACAGTTAAAATGTTTCATTTTTTGCTCCCAACGACCGCGTTGAAGTTAGATGAATTTAAATAATATGCGAAATATTGTTTTGCACGCATTGTCTCTGGTTGGAGGCCTTCTGAGCCAGTCCCCATCTTGCAAATCTTGCACCTGTTTCTGTAACCCTGTCAGTTGTCATAACAACACATTATGTTTAAACATTCATGTTTTGCCACAATATCACCTGGAAGGTTTTTGAATACTCATAAATGTTTGTTTCTATTTTTACCTCAGCTATTTCTTTTTAATGAAGGAGAATTTCTATTTTTAGGTTCGAAAGTGTTAATTTTCGGTTTTCGTGTTAAATATAGATATATTTGAGAGAAAAAATTCACCGGTTATGCGAATATTCCAATTTCTTTCCAGAATGATAATTTTTTCGCTTTTAAATTATGGGACGATTTCCCACAACGTACTTTGTGAAAATGTATTTTAAAAGAAACTGAAGTTGCGTAGTCGATGATCAAATAAAACTGAATAGGCGAGCTCATAAAAGTTGCCCAAGAAGAAAGAACTGAATGTATAATATTCCGGCCATACAAGGAAAACCAAGCAATGTTAGGCCGCGATCATGGCGAGATGCGACGGAAAACGGCGAAATTACTCAATACAAGTGAATGATAAGGCTAAAAAAGGAGGAATTTGCGGAAAACGCTAGAACAAAACTTTGGTTGATATTCTTCGACACTGATTTGCTCGGGTACCGATATATTTATTGCATATCAGTGAGATGTAAGGTTGTGTTTAATATTATGTTGGCCGGCCATAAAATAATAATGATTAGGGGTTTGTTTGCGCGTTATATTGCATAGGAGCTTCAAACAAGGAAATTTCTTTTAAAACGAGAAAGAGAAACCCTCCAAAAAGGTATGAGAAACACTTCCGAAAGGTATTTTTAACGTAGTTAATTCTTATTTTGTATCAAAATACAGTTTCAGAACCGATATTTCTGTTTCAGAATTGTTTCATACCGTCTGATAAATTTACGCTAAAAGAAATAGAACAATATCGCTAAGGTATTCAAAACATCACCTTAGATGGCCAGTCTGGGTTAAAATTCCTACCGTTAAAATCATCCGCAGATTTAGCGGTTTTACCTCGATATGTGCCATGTCAAGACTCCCTTGGTGATTAAATATTTCTGTTCACATAGCCTCGTCCTCAGGCTCTCTCTTCTCCCCGTCTCCAGGCTAACCTGCTGGGGACGAGGTTGATCTATTCATGTTTCTACTCAGTCTGATGAATTGGAGATTTAGACCCCGTTTTCGACCGATTGTTCACGGGCCCTGAAAGGAGCCTGACAAGTTTTATACCAGTGCAACCCGTTTACACGGAAACGCGCCCCAGTGGGGGGAGGGGGCCGGGGGCCGGGGGTATTTCGGATTTCAAGTGACCTGGATGACCAAAGGGTTTTTGTGTGGGTTTGAGATTTTCGATTTCGGGATTGGGTAGGAAAATTTTGGCAAGTATTTTTTGGGTGTAGCCTGATTTAAGTAGGGATTTTTATGGGTATTCAAAACCGCAATGTTTCTATTTTTCGTGTTATATCATTTAGGCTTTCTGGAAATTTTTATGGCTAGGAAATTCGGCAAGGGATTTTTTGGGGGTTAAATTTTGTTTCAGGGATTTTTTTGGGTTTTGATTTTTACCCCCATTCGATCATGATCCCTGTCACCTGAATGCGGAGTACCCCTCTCCCGCCTCCTCTGGGAACCACGCCGTGCAAATTCTGTTACCAAGGTTACATTGCTGTTAACACGAGCCCGCGCCTGTGCAATTTTTTGCGAGTCTCAGTGTCAGGCGCTTAACTAGGCTCCAGGCTTTTACCACTCAAACTGTGCAAAAACTTTCACTGTTCAGATGTTTACACGAGATCCGCCTAAAAGTGGAACTGTACCGGTCAAAACTTTTGACCTAATTCTTATGAGGTCAAAAACTGACACACTTCGCCGTCAAAAAACTTGCACGATTCTGCGGGTCCCGTGTGCGGAAAGTGGATCCGTACAAGTTTTAGTCCATTTAAAAATTCGCTCAGGCGGTTATTAATAAGATCAGGTAAGCGTTGGACAGTGCCACTTTTTTTCTCAAAGCTGAAGAGTTAATGAGCGAGGGTGAAGAGAATGGACCCAGAAGAACCCCAACAATTTTCTTTGAATGCAAAAAAATGCAAAAATGCAAAAAATGCAAAAATCGTCTTGAAGATCCATAAAGTGCTCGGTCGTCCTGTTCTTGTGTCAAAGATCCGTGGCTGCACAGCATTAGAGAAAGTATGAACTGGCATAACTGTTTTGGTGCCCTTGAAAAAATTTTTTATCTGCTCATCATTTCCTAATATGCGAAATTTTCAACTTGAAAACGCGTGAATTAGCTGAACATTTGAAAACGCAATTCAGTATTTTTTTCGTTTTCAAACAAAAAACCGCGCCCATGTATCGTGTGTACTTGCTGGAAAACGAGGAAGATTCTCAGGTGAATTGAGGCCTGGGCCTCCACGTATTCGAGTTATTGCACACTCTTTTAAAAAACGAAACAAAAATGATAACAAATGAATGAACGGAAGGAAGAAAGAAAAATTATGCATGAGAGAAAGATCATTGCCTGAATCTGCCGTTTGCTACGTTAGTGTTCAGCGGCTTTCATGGGGAGAATTGAACGAAATCGAGGCAAAGAAGCAAACATGGCGGATGTGTGGCTTTTATGACATCTGCCATGACATCTACTTTTTACTTTGTTCATGGTGGTATTTCACCTAATAAATTAAAATGGGATGTAAATTCTCGAAGGCTAAGTTTTTTCGACGAAAGCGCAGCAAGGCAACTGGAGATGATCAGGAAGTTACAGCGCATCTCAAAAAGAGAGATCGAGGAGGAAAGTATCAAGAACGTCTTGGTACCTTAGATGAACTACATGGTGAAGCAAGCGATACACAGGCCGTCCAAACTCTTGTTCAAGGCGGCTTGAACAAGAAAATTGCAAATGAGCTAGTGTTACGACACGAGAAAGGTTTCTTGAATGCTACGGGGGACATTGCCAATGTTTTAGAGAAACATAACACGAAGTATTATCTACAGTTACAAGACAACATTCTTGTGAGAGTGAATTCAATAGGAGAGCTAAGTTACGAGAAACTTGGAAATGAAATACGCGAAGAAATCCCAAAGAAAGGTCCTGCTCACTTGAAGGATAAAATAAGTATTAATACAGCATCAGAAAAGGAACTGGAGAAAATAAAAGGGATTGGACCTACTCTTGCACACAGAATTGTTCAGTACAGGAAAGAACATGGACCGTTTACTAGCATTGAGGATGTTGCGTCAGTACGTGGTGTGAGTGAGAAACTTCTAGAGAGAATATCTTCAGAAGTAACCATTGAAACCTCACAAAGCAGTCAAAATTGGAATTATGAGAGGAGGGGGGCTCAAAATATTACTCCCCACGATAATACTGTGCGTGTTGCAAGCTGGAACTTGCTTTCTTTTTCTTCTGATAAGGCAGAAAATTCTGGTGTTCTAGAGGTTGTTTGTTGTACAATATTAGAAAATGGGTAAGCATTTGAGCTGTTTTAAATCAAATACGGAGGCATTTGTAGGGTCCGGCATATACTGTGACTGTTTCGTCTAACAAGTGCTGTGTGGTACTTGTAGTTGATTTTACTAAAAACATCTGATCATCTCATTGCTTTCTCATCAAATTTCAAATGCTTTGTGAGAGGTTTGGTTATAAGATGACTGGTTTAGTGGTAAGTCGGTACATGTATGTGACAATTTGCAAAATAAATTATTCACACAACAAAATAATGCAGGTTAAATGCTATACCTGACATGCTTCCAAGAGTAATGAACTTTTTGCTTGACAGATTTTTTCAACTTTTCCCTAGGACATCCGGAACTAACATTTGTCAGATCCTGAATTGTGTTAGGAAGGGCATTAGTGATATCTCATTCAAGGCAATTAATCAAGTTATCTGAGTCAATTTCCTGGTTTCCTTTATAAGGCCCATTTTACATGTGAAAGTCATGCTGCTATTATGTCAAACTCAACTGACCAAATTAAACTTCACCCAATACAGTGTATATGTAGCATGGCTTATTGGTTTCAAACATCATGGTACTGCTAATTGTAAACAAGAAAATGAACTTTTCCAGACTCCATCATAATTATTCACATGTACCTATGAATGAAGAATCAATACGGAAAATGGGAAGGTTTTCAATTAGAGCTGTTTTCTGGTTTCAGCAATGATTTCATTAATAGGCCACAGTAGTTTATCAACCTTGTGTCAGCCTTGCAAAATCTAGAACTTTCTGTCATTTCTACCGTCAATTGAATTGAAAGAAGGGTTCAAGTTTGTATTTTGTTCTTAAATTAAGCCCTGACAGAGTTTAAAATAACTAGCTTTACATCAAGCAAAAAATCCATCTAGCCATGCAGTTGACAGTTCAAAGACTTAGCAGAGTTATAATGTACAGGTAAAACAATTACAGCAATTCTGTGTCCCATAGACCTTTTCTGATGATATTTATTTCTTTAACTGTTGAAAATTATACTTTTTTGCACTAATTGAAGCAAAGGTTATGACATCACTATCGCAGGAAATGAGGGACTCATTGATTCAAATGTCTCTGTTGGGAGTTTGTGACTCAAGGAGATTGCTGAAATTCAGTCTAATAGTCTTCGTTAAAGTTTTTTTTGTCTAAAAAAACTGTATTATGTCTTCTCTTCACTTTCATGTGGTTTTTTGTTCAACAGAATTGAAATACTGGCTGTTCAAGAAGTTGGTGATGAAAATGCACTGAATAAGGTAAATACAGTTTCTGTGTACATGTTTTCATTCATAGTGGATAGTATGTGAAGGCTCCCCACAGTCTAAAACTGTTTTTCTTGATGTATTGAATAGAGAACTAAGTCAGATTATTTAGAGTTTTAGCTTCTGTGTCCCAGATGTTACTTAACCCCAGCTAGTAACCTCTACAAAGAAAGGGTAAGATCCTTGTTCTGGTTTCCCATTGGACTTAACGAACTACCGGAAGTTCATCTCCAATTTCGTCTTTAACCTGATAGGCTAACTGAACAATAACTTCTGTAGCAGGCCAATCATGGTGCATACCCATTAATTCTGGTACAGAGCTAAGGGCCCAGAACAGGGACATGGACACTGGCTTGTAGACGGTTAAACTTAACCAGAGGTGTAGTCTCCTACACCTGCTAATAATGACATTTACAAATTCTTTGTGGTTGTTGTGCAGATTAAAGATGAACTGAATAATCCAACAATTGATGCTGTGAAAAGCTTTAAGCATTGTGGACACTGGCAATGTTGCACATCTGATGTTGCAGGTTACATGTTTAGGGTATGTGCTTTTAATTTCTAAAAGTGTTATTAGTAGCTAGCATCTGTAAATTTTCCGACCCATTCCTCATGCTTTCACTGCAAAAAGTGGCAGTTGCAATGACAAAAAGTCACGCAAACAATAAATTTGCTGTTGTAAAGTCCTAAGAAATTAATAGATCTATGCAAAAGTTCTTCCAATGAGGTTTCATTTGAATGGAAACACCAGAGAACTTTATTCACAAATTAAAATTTTAGTGTGACCCAACTTGGCCTAGAGTTGAATGGGTTAATTATTTCCCATTTTCAGGACTTATAAGGAGCAAGGGAAATGTTTGGAAAGTATATGTAATTTGAATCCTGATAAACTTTTCTCTGCCATATTGTGTGTTGACTTCCCACAAGTGCAGTACATTACATGTTGTTCAAGTGAGATAGTTAACCCTTTAAGCCCCAATATCCACATACAAATTCTCCAAACTGATCTCCATACATTTCCTTCATGAATGAGTTGAGAGAATTTGATAAAAGATCAAGGCATTTTTCCTTAGGTGATCATTTTATTAATTCTCATAACCTAATCCCTTGACATTGTATGGATATAGTTGGGAGTAAATTGACTTTAGTCACTATTGGGACTTAAAGGGTTAAGCTGTTGTCCTTGTTCTGTGTACACTTTATAGACTTACCAACCTTCCATTGTGGTCAGTCACATTTGGACTGCTGATGTGTCCCTGGAATGAAGGCACATGTAAACCTGGGTTTGGAACCCAGAAAAAGTGTGTCCCTTCTTCCTCAATAGAGGCCGTGTTCCTTCTATAGAGGTAACAGATATAAAGATTATGAAAATACCTGTAATTTCCTGGACCAAATTTTGTGTTCTGTGAATGGAGGTGTCCCTTGAATAGAAGTGTCCACATGGAGAGGGTCCACTATATTCAACTTATTCCAATAATTTATTTTTTAGTCCAAGGAATACAATGGCTTTCTGTGGAATACAAGTTCATCAAAAGGTATCAAGCTAAAAAGTGATGCCCTCCTTAATAAACCAAAGCAAGGTCACAAGCAATTTGCCAGAAGACCTTACCTTGGTTTCTTTGAGGTACTGTTTATTTTGTATAAAATTTTTAATATTCAAAATTAATTTTATGCTTTACTATTTCTAAGTATTGTTATACAGAAAAAATGAAGTTTACTGGTTGCTGCTTTACAGGTAGCTACGTATCATTAGGTCTAGGTTTAGGCCCTGCCTAGGTCATTGTATTGTGCTCTTGGGTAGCCCTCGATCATACAGGGTGTACCCTCCAGCACTCAAAAATAGAATTTTTGAATTCTACAGTAGCACATCCTTTGGGCAAGTACTGTAACTCTCACAATGTGCTTGCCTGGGGCAACGACTTGCTTGTCTTAGCTAACGGCGTAGTTGGAGCCGGGTGGCTTGCCTGAATCTTGCTCATTGGGCAAATCACCCTTACAGTACACTGTACCTCACTCCACCTAATTTTATGAATGGATACTGGTGAATTTAGTGAGGGGTATCCCTGGTAGTTGTTCTCACCCTCTCTCCTTAGTATGTGAGTTAGAAAAGTGAGAACAACACTGCTTTACAGCACTAGGATGGACTCCTGAAGGTTGGAGGTTGAGAGGAAATCCAAAAACTACTTGGAGGAGGACAGTTGAGAAAGAGCAAAACAAAGTTGGGTGGAAGAGCTGGGAAGTAGCCAAAGCAGTTGCACAAGACAAAAAGTATTGGTCAGACAGGCCAGATAGGCCTTATGTGTCTACTGGTGAGACATGATGATGATGATGATGGTGGTCCCCAGTAGGGTTTGACATTGAGTCAGTGGTGGAATAAAAACATTCCTAATTATTGCTTCATACAGTGTACTGAAATTTCAGATTATGTTTTTGATCTTATGCTGCGTGACCACCAACTTCATCTGCCTGATTATTTCCACTTTGCATTCTAGTTCTTTAAGGAGGATTTATGCCATTTTCTTTGCCAAATCAAATACGCCTCCCTCCCACCTCAAATGTGCTTGAAATAAATAAGCCTCAGGGGTGGGGGGGGTGGGGGGGGGGTGGGGAGAGGCTTACATGTAATAGCGGATTTACAGTATTGTTATTTTTTGTTTGTTTTTGTTTTTCATAGGCCAAGAAATTTGACTTTGTTCTTGTGAGTGTTCACTTAAAAGCAACAGGCTTAGGAAATTCTGATCTCGAGAGACTTGAGGTAAGCTCTACAGTCAAACCCTTTTAATACGGGCTCTGAAGTGGCCATAGAAAGTGTCCATATTAACAGGGTGTCTGTATTAAGCAGGTCATGTTATTAAAGTCAGAATGACACCTTTTATTAGGGCAAAATATAAAGGGAATAAAAGAGGACACAAGCATCGTCAAGTTAAACATTTCTAAACTTCACAAAGCCGTTAT